GTGATAAGCAAATTTATTAGCAGTGACCCAATTAGTATTACTTCATCTTGTGCTAATGTATGTGGATCCCTACAGAAAGCATGACAAAACCACACCTATTAGTTGTCGTACGAGAATAACATTTGCTGTATTGTCGGAGGGCTGAATAGCAATAGATGTTGCCGCTGTTCCCCTGCAGCAAGAAGGTATAGGTTCCTGGGTTTGAATCCTGGCCTCGGCTTTTTCTGCAAGGAGTTTGCATATTTGCCCTTTGGATGCGTACATTTTTTCCAGGAAGTGTGGCTTTCTCCCAGAATCCAAAACCATGTCTGTAATTGCTCTTAGGTATGTGTGCATGCGTGTGCATGTGTATGGATGCGCATGTTTTTCATCCCCTCTGTGTGTCTATGTGATGAACTGGTGCCCTGTTCAGGATGTACTCTGCCTCTCTCCCCAATGACTGGTGGAAATAGGCACCAATCTCTCCTGTGACCTTGAAATAATTAGGAGTATACACACGTTATGGATGCATTATATCATATTTTTAATCAAAGATCATTTTGATTAATAAATTAGATGAACCGTCACACTGCATTCAAACTGCACTCAGTTTTTCAGCCAATAGGCTGTGGCTCTGCACAATAATTTAAAATGTCTCTCATGTCAAATATACAATATTGATGCTAAAAAATTTAAATAGGGTTTATGGAAAAAAACATGTGTTACTATGTAATTTATCATGTGCTTTGAAGAGGTGCTCTGATAGTTCTCTCATTTACTTAGTTGTAATAATAGTTAAAGACTGAGAAATGCAAGTCACAGGTTTTGAAAAACATTGCCAACAAACTTGTAAGTAATAATACTAGGTATGTTTCCATAGACAGTGTTTCACTTTTAATGCTGAAAATGTGTGCTTCCAAGAGAGTACATTTGTTTGAATATTTAAATTACAAATTGATCCAAGAATAGTACTTAGTGAGGTCTAATCCAGTAATATTTATCAGGGATCATGGGAATTATGTAAATGACTCCTGTCTCAACATGCTTAATATTTTTAGTTTTTCTTACCTATACCTCCTCTGTTATTGTTCTTTTAAAATTTGCCTGATCCTTATATTTTTCTAAACCACCCTTCACTCTAGAACTCAAGCTTTGTCTTCATTTTCTATTTTGACTCCCTCCTGCCCTTCATGTCCTCTCATGAGAAGCTGCTGCCTGGCCTCAAAGGGAGCACTAGAAAGGATCCATCAGCCAGACTGCTATTCTCAGGAGAATGCATCCAGCATGTTGCTCTGTTCTGCTCTGCTCACTATTATATCTATCTAACACCAGATCGCCTTTACTGTAGATCACAGGCTGCTTTTTTCTTTCTTTTTTGCAAAGCTGTATAGAGTTGTAATTCTATGCCTTGTTGGACACTGCTCACACATTTTCTCCAAGCTGTTTGTGATATCTGTACTGCTTGTGTGAACCAGATCTATTTGCAGGGCATGGTTATAATAGGGTGTATCATTATATACGATGGTGGCCTATGTGTTTAGGCTGTTTTGAGAAGAATCAAAGGGTCACGAGGAATACCTACTGCAGATTTAAGGCATGAAATGTTAATCTGCCAGACGTATCTGGAGGGTTTTTGAGCACCAGCTGGAGACATTGGTACGGTACTTTTAAGCCTCAGTGCTGGACTAAAACAAAGCCATATTTATCCCCAAATAACAACATCTGGCCATGCTTAACAGCATGGATAAATAAACAAGCCCTATGGATGCTAAATCCCCCCACACTCAATCACTCTCACACCCCCTCTTCCCATTCCCTCTTGACTTTCTGAAGGCTGTTGTTGGTGTGGGGCTGGCACATCAGTGTTGATAGTGTGCATCCAATTAATTAGCCAAACGTTATCTCATTAGTAATAGCCAGAAGAGTAAAGCAAGTACACTCCCTTACAGTTGCAAACATCCTCTGGTCAGCACTGAGCTTCCTTTCCTTCCCCTCGGTAACCTCTGTGATCTGTTGATGCTGAGTAGGAGGACAAAAAGAAAGGTTTGTTAATGCTGCTTGGTCAAAGTGTCCATCATTAGGCAGCTATTCCTCATGGCTCACATTTATTCCACAGCTCTTGCAGAATTAAGACTAGACAGCCTCCAGCATATCCTAATAGCACTGCATCACGAGACAGTCTAATGGTTCCTCTGTCTTTAAGGTATCTGTCTTTGTGGACCTCTGCATAATTTGCACAACGCTGTAAGCAAAAGTCAGCACCATCTGACACACAATTGAATCCCCTGCATTCCTCAACACCTGTGCCTCAATGTTATTTAAAGCACTCAGGGGCTCTGCACCAAACACCAGCCAGCGGCTATTTGCTTGTGCGTGTCAAGTGTGTGCATGTGTGCGCAAGTGTTTGGGGAAGAACTTGCTTTCTGAGCTATTAGCAACAGGCTATGCACAGACAAACAGCACAAAACAATTTGTTGACCATTTTGTCTAGACATTGGCAAAAGGAAGTGATATGTATTTAGTGAAGACCCACTGTAAGACATTGTTACTTATTGTTTTATTTTGCACATGATAACAAATAGCATTATTTTTATTCAGTGTTGGTATTTGGAGTTCTATTAATGACAGAAATAAAAAAAAAACTAAATAAACTGTGCTTGTTTTTTTGTTTGTTTGTTTTTCTCTTCCCAAAAATAAATACATGCTCAAACACGCTGCAAGGACTTTAGGAAATGTGTGATCTATTGTCCTATTCATAAAATCAAAGATGCATAAATTCTGTTAGTCTTTGTCATTTGAGAAAAACAGTATTTACATTTTATGAATATCCACTGCAGTGTCCTGGTTCTATTAGGCAGTGGAATAAAATATAAATCATTCAAGGGTAAAGACATGACAGAGTTATAAACTACATCTTGACCCAACACTCCGAGGAACAGTAGTAAATGGCATAATGGAGTAGCATAGTTTGATGTGCTGAAGCCAATGTGTCAGAAACAGCAGGAGCTTCTTAAAGAGACAGAGGCCCAATTTCAAGGTCTCAAACTAGGAAATTTAATTTCTATTTGATGCATTAGTTTTTATGATAGAAGATGACAAAGTTACTTGATTGTGCTATAAAATGACACTGTTCCTGGAAAATACATCATACTGTACCTTTAAAAATTGACAAAAAAATAGATTTGGGATTTGATTGCAATTCATAATTTGAAATTCCAAATTTAAGTATTTTGTTATTGATTGAATTGACCAAAATTGTATGTCTATCTTTTTTTGTGTCTATGTAAATCTAATAAAAACAATAAAAAGTATTTAATAGGACCTTGTTTGGAAAAGCTGGTCTTTCGAGTGTGGGGTAGCTGCATGAATGTGAAGTCGGACCCACGAACACTGACATTTTTATCATGTCTGACCTTCAAGGGACTGCAGATTTTCTTGAAAGGGAAAAGATAATCAGATGTAATTAAAACTTTTCAAATACACTGCTTTATTAAAACAGTGTGACACTGACACATTAGATCTTGGTTTAAATTACATGGTTCATTTTCCATGTTTATTGTTGTCCTAATAAAACGCGTGGGGGACAACAGATCAAATTATCATTCAGCAGTCTGTTGTGTATAGACTTTTATGAATGTTCGATGCTCTGCTTGACAGTACCAAAAGTTATGCTTTTTATGTATATATTGCGAAACACATCACTTAACTGCTTCAAGTGGTCTTTTAATCAAATTTTATCTGTAAATATTCGACATGAGAAGGTATGTGCTGATTGCAAGAGAAAGTGGCTGATTCAAATTATTCTCAGCTGCATACCAGGGCACTGATTGGCTACATGCAAATGGTCATGTTTATCACACCAGGGAAACAGGAAAACACAATGTGTCCATAATAATCCCCGAGTTGCTTTAAAGGAGCAAAGTGAAATACAGACATCATAGTTTTGCCAATTAATACAACAAATACTGATGCTGCATGCAGATACTTATACTCTGATGCATGAAATATTCTATTCTAGAATTGTGAGTTTGAGGAAATGCCATCTGTGACATCATGATGCTATGATGCTCTCAGTGTAGCCATTTATCTACCAATACAAAAAAGCTAAATGTCACATAAATGGCAGGTCAGTAAGTAGTTTCTGTGCTTTTTCCTACACACCCTGAACATGATCACAGCCACTCCTTTTTTTGGCAATCTCCATTCTTCAACGGCCCCTGAGATCTCTGCTGAACAATCTTTATCCTCTTTTGAAGAATGAATCCTGTCTCCACTTGGAAACAGTGCATCACTACTCCTTGGCGTTCTTCATGGAAATATATGCACTTAATTCCATGTGTTAATTCTGAGTGTTCATTATTTAAGAACATAAATGACTGACATTCTCTTGTTTTGGTCAAGCCAAGTTCTAGCATTTAATACAGGAGAATATTTTTTTTTAATGACAGCTGATAAGCTACCTGAAAAACAGCTGAGAATGCAACCACCGCATTCTTTAACAATTACTGGTAACGAGTTTCACATTTTTCTTTGCAAGTTTGTTTTAATTCAGTCTCACTAGAAAGTTTCCCAGAATAAACTCCATGTGTCTATTTGATTTAAGCCCAGATGTTGACTAGACAACATACGACATATTTTTAAATATTTAAAATATTTAATTTTATTTATTTATTTATGGTTTTTTGTTTGTTTGTTTGCTTGTTTTCTTGCTGTTTTTGAAACATCCAGCTGGAAACAAGTTGTTGGGCTTGGGATCTGAATTTATGGTTCTATCAATTATCAAAATTCATCAAACCAAAGCAACTTTCATGCAGTCACCACCATGTTTGACTGTATGTTATTGTTCTTATCATTTAAGATGGAGAGTGAGCTGTGTTTTAGTCCAACTTTCATATTTTCTCCATCTTTTTAATGTATTTAATAAAAATACAGTTGAATAAGATTATTTATTAGGTACAATAAAATATCCTAATGCACTTAGTAGTGTTACTCAAACTGGATTTTGGCCTTTTGTTTTTCAGATGGACCCTTGGGACCACGAGGGCTTGTGGAAGCTACAGAGATGTGCACACAGGAGTGCCTGGTCCTTGGACATTCAGACAACTGTTGGATGCCTCCCACATTAGGATCATACCAGCATCCTAAGTCGCCCGTGTCTAGCTTCAGCTCTCAGCGGGAGTGGGGTCAGAAGGACAAACTCCTTAATGGACACACTCTCTCCAGAACCTGGAAAAACGAAAGTGGACGGTCAGAGCATTTTGGCGACAGGAAGCAGTTTGGGAGTGGGGAAGGACACTTCACCAGCAGCAGCATGGCTGATATTCCTTTGGTGAGTCTGAAGTCTTGCCAGTCAGCATCCTGCCCAGACAGTCCAAAGGACCAGCAACTATAAAACTGACTCTTCTTTGCTGCAAGAAATCTGGACAGAGTAAACTGGTGAGGCATCTCACCTGGGCTCACCCTGTGTTTCATTGCGTTATTTCATTGGTTTATTTCTTGTCTCCTTTCTTCAACTTCAGTTAATGCTTCTGCAGTCTCAACGCCACATGTACTGTGTAGGCCTGAAAATAGCGCTGATGCTTAATTCTCCACAGTAAAATGTCTCTGCATTTACCCTTTTTTTTTTAATAATACAATTCTCAATGAAAACCTTTTTCTTTCCACTTCTTTTGGGACATGTGGAAGAAGGACCTGCATAAAACTGAAAAAGAGGGAAAAAAATGACTATCAGACAAATATATACAAATCTTTGTGGTGTGATTGTTATTGAGCTGTTTGGGACTATATTAATCAACACAATCAAAGAAAATTTTGATTATATTTCAAAAAAGTGTTGGTCCTATAACACTTGTTTGTGGACACTTGTTTATTCTGTCACTGTCTCTGTGTTTGTAAATAATACTTATTAACCACAATCATGTATAGTAATATTCACAGTGGGTAGGACAGTTCTCTGCTTTTGTCATCATAATGGATTCTCATCAAAATTGGGGAAATTCAGCCGGGCAGAGATCTCCAGCAGAAAGTGACATATCCAACAAGAAAATATTTGTTTTTTTTTTTTTTTTTTTTTTCTGGATTTTTACTGAAAGAAAATCTTGTCACATAATTTACTGTTTCCTATATCCCATATAAATTTTATTCAAGTGCTGCAAAATCTCAAAGGCAAATCAGTTTTTTTTTTTCTTGTTAGAAAAACAAAACAAAAAAAAAGCTTTATTAAGGATGTCAGTGCTCAACATGTGCATTATAAAACTGAAAGTCTCTAAAGCGCTCTGATTTTAAAAGTGTTTAGTACAATTGAATAGCAATATATTTGTAAATGGCTAAATGTTTTATCTAAGGTTGATCTTACTGTATAGATTTTCTTCAATTTGTGATTTAACTGAGGGCAATTTCTCAGTAGTACCTGCAACTTATTGACCTATGTATGTAAATATACATATATATATATAAATATATATACTGTATATATATGTACTATTTCCACAGACTATTATTTTCCATACATAAGACAACACAGGTAAAGATAACACTTAAATCACCGTGCCTTCATGAAACACTGAATTGTGCTTATTCAAATGACAAGAACATGTTGGCTACTAAAAATATTCGGTCTGATAATCAAATGCCTTATGCATTGAGTGTTTGTCACATTTAAAGATATGAAGTGCAAAATAAAGTCAAAGAATAAAAAAAGGCATGGACAGACTGTATGTCAGCCAAGATAACTTGTCATTTCACCATCTGAAAGAGTTGGTTTTCACAGCATGGACGGCAAATACACAAAGGAAAAGCATGCTAAATGATATACCTTATTTAATTAAATTTGTCATTTTTGTCTTTGCTTTTTCTTTTTCTTTTCGAGATTGGGTGGGGGTAGAGTTGAGTTGTGCATAAAGAGTAGTTCCGTTTGTAAAGCACTTTCACATTAATGTCACAATATAAAGATGTTAAGTGGGATGGAGTGATTTGCTTATCGCAGTATGTTTATTAGTTGTGAGGGTGTTTGACATCACCAATACTGAAACAGTTAATCCTTGTTACTCTACAGGTATACAGCTACTGCAATAAATGTTTTAATTATGTGTATGCTTTTTTGCGTACAAGATGGCTACGTCAGAAAGTCTGTGTCCTTTTTTTGAATAAATGCCCCTGTGAACGTTTAATTTAAATTCAAAGCACTGTTTAGATATCGCATGGGTTTGCAGCTAATTAGAGTGATTTTCTTTCTCTCCAAAAATGGAAAATAATTATCTGTTTTTACACTACTTAACACATATTTTGGTCGAAGCATTTACTTGTGAACAAAGCAGAACCAGATTTGTTAAAGCATCCTCCAAGAGAGTGTGTCCTGATGAACAGTTTCTCTTGCAACTGTTCTATTTTGCATTTTCTGTCCTTAGAGAAAATAAAAGCTTCTTAAAAATATTACTTCAGGGTCACTGTGGCATAAGCAGACAGCTCATACAAATCCCAAGAGACATGATTCAAGGAAAGTTCCCTAACAAGGTTACCATAAAAATAAAAACTTTAGCCATCTATAAAGTATTTTATCACATAGTCTTTGCTGCATTTTTAAACTAAGTAAATTATTGTGCTATTCCAACCAATTCCTCAGATTCTCAAACATTTTGTAATAATAGTTGTAATGAGAGGCAAAGAAAATAAGACATACTCGTGGCATTATTTTGCAATAAAAAGTTCAATCTCTTCACCTCAAGATAAGAATGTTTTTGCAAAAATAGCATTTAATATAAGACTTTTATTAAATCAGAATATTATTGAAAAGTTAATTTATTTCAGTAACTCAATTCCCTAGGTGAAACATATGAAGCAGCTTGGTCAGAAACACACAGATGTTTTTAAGCTTTTGTATCAGTTAATTTTGATGATCTTCATTTAAAGCTAGATTTAAAAATACAATATTGTATCATAAACATTTTAACACAGAAATGTGGACTTTTTTTGCCATTCCTCATTGGGATTTCTTCAGCAATGGCTTTCAGGAATTGGGTCTTATCAACATTAGAAATAAATAGAAACAAACAATGAAATAAATCAACCACTATTTGCTATTTACCATTTAAATAATCATGAGTTTTTCAATTATTTTCCTGTTTTTGTACTGTATTCCCTCAGTGCAATTTCTGAAACTCGCCGGATTGGACAAATCACATAGAAAGTTTACTACAAATAATAAGGTCAAAGAAGTCACCTAAATCGAACAAAAGGATCTCGTGTGTCTTTTCCCAGTGTTTCAATGCTGACTGTAGAAATACACCATCTGGTCAGAAACAACCAGTCAGTCATGAGGAGTTTTTGCACTGCCAATCATCCCTGTGTAATCACTGTTCACCTTCTTCCTCCTTGCTCTCTGTTATGTCACAGCGTCTTCCCGAAAGCATAAAGCCTGTTGTGAATTCCCAAGCTAGTTAACATGGTCACCTATAAACAGTTCTCCAGTAAAGGTAGGTTGTTCTTCTGCCAGTGGCACATTAAGCAACAAGTACACGAGCATGATTGACGGCAGTAAGACCGTCCTGTTGACTCTGATTGGTTGTTTTTAACCAGGAGTGCTGCCTAGCTGGGAGAACATGGAGAAGTTAGATTTTTTTTTTTTTTTTTTACAGTGTATCTTTCTCGTATTACACTATCCCAACATAGTGAAAGTTTTAATAAATATATATAAAAAACATTATTTTTTTTTTAAATAAACGATACATAGTGCAGCTTTAAGGCAAATGCTGTCCGATTAAACCCTAAAGTTGAAAATACACATTAGTCTTTACATTGATATGATAATTAAAAGCACATAAATGGTTAGACCTGATTTATTTTATTTTATTTTTTTGAAAATACATTAGTACGTCAACAGATATTATAGTGATGAATTAAACTATGTGTGGCTATGTGATGGGCTGCACCAAAACTGGAGACAGGACCCTGAACTGGACTGTTTAGACATAATAGCCGGATAGATAATAGGACAATGATACAGTTGAAGACTTATCAAAATTGTCATATACAAGCAAATAATAAAATAACAGTTACAGGAAAAAGGAAGCAATCTCATTTGACTTTCATATAGCAGGAAGTTTGATTTATTTAATAGAGTCGATAACAAGCAATCAACGGCCATGGAACCATTCAGAACCAGATTATTCTTGATTGATCGACTGATTGAGAGATGAACTCCCAAGTGCTCTTAAATAAGTAAATATGTTTGGGGGGTTCAAACACCTCCATAGGCCCTTTCCATACAAATTAAAGTGTTTTGCTTAAAGTGCATTACATGGTGATACCACGTACTATATGTGGTATCTCGTAGGACAATTGCTTTTTTTTTTTTTTTTTAGTCCTTTAGGTTTCTCTTTCTCACTGTAACCTAATTTCATATTTTTATATGAAAAAATATAAAAATATGAAGTTGCCCAGCGGACTAGCTTAAATTCTGACTTGCCATGCTAGCTATCGATTTGTGCAAGAATAGTTTCTGAGGAGCTTCAAAGCTAATTGCCTTGGAAGTGAGAGAGGAAGTAAATTAGTGTCACGCCACAACCAAGAAAAAAAAAAAATCCCAATCGCATTTGGTTCTTCTGCGGCTTTGTGAATAATTTTCAGACAGGCAAACTGGAGTGGAAGAGAGCAAACGTTCAGCAGAAATCAGTCGCAGGGACTGCATGCGCATCAAACAGGAGTAAAGAACTCCCAACAAAACTCAGTAGTCAAAAAAATAGCACCGTCTTCATAGTTTAAAAATAACATTTTCAGATAATAATAGAAAAAAAAAATAGTATTAACCAATAGCATATATGAGTTCATCTACTAAGTGTGTAACTTTACCTGGGATCTCAACCAAACTGAGCTATCCTACAGCTTTTGAGCTTTTATGTTGTGAGCTGGCAGGGATTTAGATTTGGCTCTGAAATAAGAAGCCTCGGTGAGAGGCCAAGATCTAAAACCAGAAAGAGAGCAGAATTGAAAGAACAGAGGTTTTTAACAGATTGTATTCGCATAATGGCAAGAGTTGAATAACCCTGAAGCTGTTCAACCCAAGCTATTTAACTTTACTTAACCCTTCTCTAAAAAACTAAATCTACACAATATCACCCTGAAACAAAGTTTTATAAGAGTCTGAAGTTTTTCAAATGAAGTGAGATAAAACCAATAAAAACAACCCAACTTGAACAAAATAAAAATAAGACAAATGAATATTTTTTTTAAGAAATAGCATTCTCCAAATGCATTACAGTGTGCAATTTCTAGAATGATTCACAGCTCTGTAAGGACAAGCTTTAGAAATATCTGAAAATAGGTGAGGCTTATGCATCTTGTTCAAAATTCTAACCTTAGAGTGAAATAAACAGCAGGATAATATATTATATTTATAAACCCAGAGAAGGCGGTGGCCTGCTAAATGAAACATGAAGGTCAGTGGAGAGGATGATGAGGGAACATGAACTGTCATGCCGAAGCTACCGCAATAACTATGACAGATTAAAGAGAAATTGTAGCTTGGCCAGCTACTATAACTCTGACCTCGTACCGCAAATCTGAGTCATTTGAGTTATTACATTCATAGAGGTCATAGTGAAAAATGGGTCAAAGCTGAATACAGAGGTTTTCTTTAAAAGCCTTAAATGCCCAAGTTTTAGATCAGGAAATGATGCGAACGGGATTACACAGGGAGATGCCTGGAACTCTCTGGCCTGTTATTAAATTGAATGGCAAATTGAGAGGAACATTTTGTATTCCAGTGCAACACCTCACTGGTGAAAATCTGAAACACTGCTCAAGGCAGGTAAAGAAACAGAATTTTTTCAATGCACAAAGCAAGATTTTTTTACACTTCCCTGACGCCAAAAAGATACAAAATTAATAAACTTTACAATTCGGATTTTTAGAAAACCTTTTTGCAAAAACTATGTCTGCAAGGCTTATTGTATTTATATTTACCACAAGTGAAAATTAAATATTTAACTTGACACCTGGTAAAGCCACTGCTATAAAGCCCTGATAGTGTCATCAAGAGTTAACACCTTAGTGAGGATCAATGAGCACACTGCTTGTGAAACAGCAATTCCCTGGACCAGAAGGCCATTTAGAGAACGATCTGATGGCTTCAGTCCATCTTGGTCCTTCTCAAAATTTGATCCACATGGACACAGCAGACACATCTGTATAGATTGCTCCCGCAAGCCAATCAAGGAACAAACACTCTGCCAATATTCCCTCCAGATGAGGCCTGAGCTCTCAACAGAGGGCTGAGATGAAAGACAGAAAGCAGAGCGCGATTGTTGATTAACCTCTGCAGTCTGCAGTAAATCTGTACACACAGGAGAAACCCAGGTGCTGGCATTGGACCCATCCATGTCCACCACAGCAATCTGAAAAGGATTCTTGTCAAGAGCAACTGTCTTTAAACACAGTGTGTTGAAATAGGTTGTAGAGCAGTTTGCTTCTCCCCTGTTATTGCCTTCTCTGTGGGACCTTGTAATGACTAAGACCTCACTCCCAGAGTGCTACTTCAATGCAGTGTAGAAAAAAAAAAAACTTGTGCTGGGGTTGATATTTCTCCTTTTGCTTTTTTTGTTGAAGGCAAACAACATATGTTATTTTACTTTACACTTGAAAATATGCAGACTCATTCAATAACTTTGAACCTTATTGAAAAGTTAATCTATTTCAATAACTCCATTGACTATGTGGCATTTATATTTATTAATGACAGATTGATTTCTAAGTCTTTATTTCTGTTAATGATGACGATTCTTTGCTCACAGCTAATTAAAACATGACATTTAAGATTAGAATATTACATTGGACAGATGGAAGAAAGAGTATTACTTACTTAGAGGGTGTTATTTTAAAAAATATGATGAGCACACCTAATGGCAATACCTAATTTATTGAATATCATGCAATCCATAAAGTTTATTCATATAGCATATTTCAGCAGCAAGGTGGTTCAAGGTGCTTTACATAAAAAAAAAAAGAATAAATAAAATCACAAAGTTATAAAGAAATCACAGTACACTCAGCAATATACAAACAGTAAATTTTTATGAGTGCCATCACCAAAATCATACATTAAATAAATTGGTCAGAGAGACTGCAAAAAAGGTTTTAGGGACATGGCTTATGAAAAACATTACATATTACGTACAGAGACAAAATAATCAATCAAGTACTGTCATGCACATTTTCACTTCCTCTAGGCACATCAGAAAGAAGATTTTTTTTTCTTAGCAATTTTCCATTTATTGTATTTCAATCATATTATGGTGAAATGGAGGTTTTGCTTAAGAATTATCAATATCATCCATACATTTATTCATGATTTGTGAGCTGTGTGTATTTAGATTCTAAGTTGTTTGTATGAAGTTAATTTCGGCATCGTTATTCTGTCTCTATAATAGTTACTTTAT